ACCAAGTCTAATTAGCGGATCTGTGTGTGTGTGTGTGTGTGTGTGTGTGTGTGTGACGGAGAGGAAAGAAAGAGACTCAGACTGTGGCAGTAGTCTCTTCTGTTTCTAATGAAACCAAGAGTAGGTAACGACACTGGAACGAAACTAGTTCTTCTCTAAATTATTTAAAATTTCAACATTCACACACTTCAAAACATACTTGAGAGTGTTAATCAAATGGAGCAAAGCTTGTAAACTAATTCAAGAGGGTAATTCTACTGCTGCTAAACTAACATGACATGCTGGACACTGTTTAACTTACAACAGAAACACACTTAATGTCGTGTTTTTCAGCCTGACACCTCATAAATGTTCTTAATTTTACAAGAATTGATATTAAACATGATTCTGAACAGCCAGCGTTTGGTTAAATACAACGGATTAATCCAAACAAAATCTATTGAGATGAAAAATGGCTGTATTTGTTACTATTGTTTACTAAACTAATCCATTACTAATCACGTTGGCCTTCATATCCTCTATGTTCATGAGTTGTAGTGATGGTAAATCTGCAGCACAACTCCTCCCAGTCTGGATTCTTGATGCTATTTGATGCTGTTTTTTCACAGGGAGTTAGGCCTCTCTGATGTCTCCTGAGAAGCACTCCCACATGATGATGATGCCACCACCATGCTTCAAAGTGGAGATGGTGTGTTTGTGATGATGTGCAGTGTTTAGTGTCTGCTAAACATAATGTGTAAAATCTCAATCCCAATTTTGGTCTCATCAGACCAAAGAACACTCTGTCAGTTGATATCATAGACTGTATAAAAGATGGACGTAGCAACCGGCCCTGAAAAATGAAGCCAACCCAGACGTGTCAAAAACCTACGTCCGTGAGCTGCTGGCTCCAAAAAGCCCTGGCTCCCATAGACTTGAATTGGAAAAGAAGTGATCACAGGTCACGAAATACTGCATTCCTACAGCTCAGGATTTTTTTTCTTATTAGTTTTCATGGTCAAGTCCAGAGATCAGGTGGCCAATCTGAAAATAAATCAATACAGAATTTAAAAAAAAATCATCAACATTTTGCGGGGCAAGGGGCGTGGCTGGCTTGATTGACAGTCGTCAGCGACCATACAGACAAAGCGAGCAGAAGGGGGTAAATGTGGGCGGGCAGAGAGGGCCCGCCTCTCAATCCGTCTGACCAATCGCTGCTCCTATGGCTCCACCCCCCTCCGACGATTTTTGCGTCACTGGCTCCAAAAATCCAAGATGTCAACCAGGAAGTAGCAAAACCCTGGCTTCATTTTCTCAGAGCAGAAATCAACGGGTGACGTCACGGTAGCTACGTCCATCTTTTATACAGTCTATGGTTGATATTAGAGTACATTCCGGTAAACGTTTGTCCAGATTTAATATGAGCTGTTTTCAGTTGTGGCTTTCTCTTTGGCACTCTACCATAAAGCTTTGACTGGTGAGGAGCAGTAGTTGTATGCACAGTCTCTCTCATCTGAGCTTCTGAAGCTCGTAAAGCGACTTTCACACAGGACGCGGTGTATACTCGCCACGGGTTTCAGCGCACAGCACCTGGGTAGTCGCATATTAGTGAGCAAAATAGGCAGTTTTCAAAACTTCCAGCGGGGTGACATCACCATCCTCTCAAGCTGGAAGCTTTCAGTTTGATGCAAACACTTCAGCAGTGAAGATGTATTTGTCCTGTGCTAAGTGGGAAGTATTAGCACGAGCCTTATTAGTACTCAACAAGCATTAGGACTATTCAGTTTGATGCACATAAAGCCAATTCACAAAACATGTCACCTCATAGTACTTAACACTGAGTTGCAATATAACCGCAAAATTGTGTGATATATTTCGGGGAACTCAGACCATAGACTAATCCAGCCGTGTAGGCGAGATGCCTCCTTTCTATTGGCTGCGTGGTCGTACATCATAGCGTGCAGCGGTCAAAGTTCAACAAATGTGAACAAATTCAACCTGCGTGCTGCTGGTTCGGCATTCTGTTGTTGCACGGTGCAAATGAATGAGTTTCACGTCCTGTGTGAAAGCCGCTTTACTCCTTCAGAGGAGTCATAGGTGTCTTGGTGGCCTCCTTTCTCTTTCTTGAGGACGGACAGGTCTTGTTTACTTTTGCCGTCTTCTTTCTTTTTTTTCCTAGTGGTTTTTTTTGTTGTCGTCGGGGTGTTCTTTGCTTTTTTGCTGTTGTTGTTTTTTTTCTGCCTCGTGCTTTTTTTTAACCTTTTTTCCGCGTTGTTTCTTGTGTTGTTTCTTTTTTTCTTTTTTTGTTGTTCTGCTGCTGTTGTTGCTGCTGCTGCCTTGCACGCTTGCTATGTCAGTCCCAATTATGCTTTTAACATTTTCTGCTGGCTGCTGCTATTCATGTAGTATTTTATATGCCAGATTGCCTACAAATACTATGAGCATGTCACATTTCAGAGTCTTTATGGAAGAATTAATATATTGCACTACCCTCTGTTTGCCATTAGTCTGGGTAGCTCTGCTGCATGTATGAATCTGTGGACAGGATCCTGGTACTTACTAATTTGCTGCTTGTGTTAACTTTAATATCACGAGTTCATGGTTCAGTTCAAGTTTAACTTTCTCCTACAGATCTGCTTCTGGGTGACATTTTGGTGCATGCTGACGACTAATTAATTTTGTCTTACATTGACATCTACTGAGCTTTTATACACTTTCTGTATTAGGTATAAATTACATTTTTATTGTGCTTGAATCCATCTGAACGTACTAAATTCTCTTTTGGATGTTTTGCACATGTGCCGAGATAGTTTAACGCTGTTGATTTACATCAGCAGTAAAATATTCTCATGTTTGAATAATGAGTTCATGTACTTCTCTTGTCCTAAACACAACCCAAACACATTTTTCTGTGATATATGGGAGACCCAACACCAGACTTTTATATTATTTGGTATTAATGTCACTCCCCGATGTCTTATTGCGTCATTTAAAGCCTGCTTTACAAAGAGTGAACAGATCCTGCATAAAGACCTGCCAATCTCGGCTGTGCAGAGGCTTTTGTACGGTTGCATGGAGTGATTGGATCTTATTGGTTTTGGCTGCATATTGAAAAAACAAAGGTACATGTTACATCTTTTCCTAAACACTTTTCCTTGAGTTTAATGAAAAATGGAGGAAAGATGTGAAGGAGAATTCATTTACATAAAGACAACTGTGAGGCTAAGAGAATCCAACTGCACTTGAATTGTTCTACCGAATGGAATTAAGCGACGGCATTATCCACTTTCCTTTTGTAAAGGATGTATTCTGTGCTTAAGGAGATAAGAATGGAAGCATTGAATCGCCTTCAGTTAGCATTTAAAGATTTCAACCAGCTCTTATCACGGCTGCCACTTAGACACTTCCACATCATTTTGCTTGAGGAACTTCCTCAAGCAACAAAGACTATTTGACCGCCGATGACCCTCTTAATAACCACGTATTCACATAAAAGTAGTCTTTCCATTATATGCGCTGTAGCTGTTGAATTCATGGTATTGAGTTGCTTCCCGGTCAGCATCACTTCAGCGCAAAAAATCATCTTTTTATTATGGAAAAAGGTTCACTTTTCTTTTACAAAACACATTTTTCAGCTACACATTTTTCTATAATTTAACCAAACATCACAATCATCAAAAAACATCTAACATCATTTTAAGAAGCTCTCTCTGTGTCACAAACCCACCGTGTGACAGGAATCACAACCTGATGTCCCTGAGCAGAGAGAATTGTAATAAAAAAAACATACACATACAAAAACCTTTTAATGTAGTTGTCATGTTGCCTACTGTAGCCTATCTATTTGGAGGAATGACAGAAGGTGGGCTGATGACAGTGGAACGGCACAGTGTTGGCATTTGTACATAAAATAACATGTATTAATAAATTAAATTCGATCATGTGATCACATGAAATAAAACATCTTCATTTGACACAAGGAACACAACACATTAGTGATAACAGTTCTTGCTTGGCACGAGAGGTGTAAAGACTCAAGCTTTGGCACCGCTGAGGATTTTCTCATTATCGACTTTCAATTTTACACTCGCAAGCATTTCAAATGCACCAAGTGCAAACAATCTTCAGTGACTCGGATAACCGGCTGTGATTGGCTGTGCATTACGCTCATTCTATGATGACAGCACTTTGTTAGAGGGTGGTACCAGGAGTTGTCTATGCCGTCATGCTTTTCATGTTTTTGCTCTGTATTTACTGTGTTCAAGGCCAGACCAGCCTGATTCATCTGGGATTTAATTTTTGATATTTTTAAACAGCACACACCACTGTGTGCACTTCTACAACCTACGATGGACAGTTTAGCAAAAGAAGTCCTTCTTCCTTGTCAAATCCTGGTGCCTACATCACCCATAATGCAACTTAACCGTCTGAACCCCAAAGTCCACCTGCAGGTTTGAAAGGCATCGTATAAAAATCCACCCAAAGTTCACCATTTACCTGAGCCACAAACTGTGAGAACAGAAAGAATCATGGAGCTGTCGACCTTCCGACAGTCCCTGAACTAATCATGCGTGACATGTGTCTGGAAAACAACCAAATCGAAGCCTAAAATCATCAAAATCGCTTCATTCGAAATGTCCCATTTCAAAAATTGCGAAAAATATGCACTGACCTGGCTCTAAATAACTAAAACATCTGGGCTCCTCAATGCAATCATAAAGCTAGTAATGATGCAACTGTCAATAGTCATGTGACCAGAGTTTCTGGCTGACCTTGGCTGAACTGCAGGCTGTGTTTACACAGAGCAGACAGGAGACAAGTATGGAAATAAATTAAAAATGTAAGTAGTAAAATATCTATAGTGTGGAGAGCCACAATCTTTTACAGTATTGAGAACACGAGGGGGCGTTTGGAAAATCGTTGTACATGTTGATTCCAGTTTTTTCCTTTAAAAAAAAAAAAAACGATTTTGGGCATTTTTACTGTCATACAGCACAAAACATATTAATTTCTGAGTTCTCTCTTCTTCTAGTCCATGGTTGTACTGTTTCCATAGCGGTGCAGGACTTTCTCTTGCTGTGAAAAATGACATGTGACTAAAAACATGACCGGAGCGAAAACCACCCAGACACTGCTTGGGGTTCAGAGGGTTAAGAGTTGTGATATTCACGACAACCGTAGCCTCGATCTGCTAACCTGAAGCAGAGACGTTGCAGAGGTCTGGTAACCTCGCTTCTTTCTAACCTCACACCTCCAGAATTATTTTCTTTTGTTGAATCTGTAGTCTTCACCTCCGACCAACGCTGACTCACTCGCTCCCTCTGGAGCCACAAAAAGGCTTTTCTACAACTTCTTCACATGTGCAGTAGGTCTCCTCCTGTAAACACACTTTGATGTGTAAAATTAAGGATGTGGTTTCTGTTGAAGTCAAACAAGCTGGCATAATGAAACGCAACATGATAGTCATTAACTCATCAGTGCTGACACTTCAAAACACTTTTTTTTTTTTTTGCAGAAATTATTGTTTAAATTTGCTACATCATCATTCAAATTAGAGGCTTTAAACACACCCTGGTTTGAATTAGAGTGAAATAATAAATCAGCTCACATATGAGACCAGGAAGATTCTTTTTTTTTTTTTGGACTTTGCCGTTATTTGCTTTTTCATTGTATCATTTAACAGAGCATTATAAAACTTGATAAAAAAAGAGAGAAGACATTAGTTGTCGTGGTTTGAGTCACCATCCAGCTCTGGTGCGACGACGCTGAATCCCAAACATGCCAAGCCTCAAACTTACAAACATCACAGGCCAGATCACCAAAGATATCGTCTCTACTGTCTCTCCAGAGAGATTCCAGCCTTCGGTCCGTCACGCCCAGCTTCATTCCCGGAAGGACGCGATGCCGTCAGCGAAGGGAACGGCGCAGCAACTCTTTCAAATCAAAGGTCGCCTTTCTGATGCTTAGTCCTGAGTCCCTGCCTCTCCATGATGTTCCACAGCTTGCGCAGGTTGGACTGCGTGATGGCGTCGTCGGGTTTGAGCTGCAGCGCCCGCAGGTAGTTGGCCTCCGCTTCTGGGAGCTTCCCGTTCAGGTGGAGGATGGCACCGAGGTTCATCAGAGCAGCCGGGTACTGGGAGGGAGGAGACACAGCGGTGCACGATGTCATGATTAAAGTGATGTGCGAGGTGCTGGGGTGTTGAGTTACAGGATTACTGAGCATGTGGCAACTGTGCTGACCTTGAATTTATTTGGGCCAAACTATTTTAAAGCTGTACATCTGACACACACATTTGCTGGAGACACATTTTAGGAAGCTTGCCAAGAAGGTGGATTAGTCGTGAAATTTGCTTATGGCAAAGAAAATCAAATATATATTAAATTAGCCCTTAATGCAATCTCACTGTCGCAGGCATGGCCCAAGATAAAAGCGTGTCCTCTGACGGTGCCACAGCGAACAAAAAGGAAGCTACAGATTGTGTGTGGGCGAGTGTTCAGTGTTTTGTTGTTGTTGTTTTTTTTTATATGGATGAACAAACCCATTTACGGGAGTGTTTCTGGAGTCCTATTTAATAATCTTTTTAAGTTGCAAAGTGAGACCATCTGGCCACGGAAAGTGCACCAGTTGTGGGAATTGACCGAAAAAAAAAACTGAGTCACACACATGATTCTCAGCAAGCCATAGCTAACAAACACGCCCAGATCTCATCCTAAAAGTCATCTGCACCTCATCCTCCCAGGCCTGGCCTCGTTCCCAGGCCCACGTCCCCGCTGCATGACATATGGTTAGCAACTTGGCCGCTAGTTCACAGATTTCCTCTCCCCAAACACAACTGTTTGCCTCTTTTCTGCGCTGATATTTTCTCTTGTTTACATTCCACTCCACGAGAAGAGCGATGGCAAGGGCCTGTTTTCATCACCTAACGAATGAACGCCGACAGAGCTGGAATATTCCGAGCAGCGGCCTGGAAGACGCTGGGAAGATAATCGATTAATGCAGTTTTACGGCCGGTGCTTTTCTCACCTACTGCAACAAATTCATGTAACAAGCAGTCACACCGAAGGCTCTTAAGAAACGTTTGCTCTGTTTTCTTTTGTTGTTCCATACGGGAACTGTGCAAAAGGTGCAAGGGCAGATACACAAGGATCCTTTTGTCCTTCTGGAAACCAACACAGAAACAGATTAGGAGCTGTTAAAAATAGAGTCCTGTGTATATAGGAATACAGTCAGCATGATTTTGTTCTCTTACTTAACACTGTGTGAGGTCTGGATTCTGCTGCAAAGGCAAACATCTGACTGCTTCTGCTTAAACCTCCTTAATCCAGATCAGTTTCTGGGTATTGTGAGCTCATTTTTTGCAATATAAATTCCTGTACGTCTATGGAAACCCTACAACCCCGGCTACAAGAGACTGAAACATTTAGATTTGTGCAGCATGATACCAAAAGTTACGTGTTTTTACAAAAAATTAAAAAAACACTGCCTGCAGTTAAGCCGAAACGTGCCTTCATTTTTAGTAACACGAGTAACTCATAGCTTCACAGTTGTACTGAGAAGAGCAAAATTATTAGTTTTAAAGAATCCAGTTTATTTTTAAATTTTAAATTGAGGCATTTATAATTCAGCGAATTTGATGAAATTTTGATTTGATTCAGTTTCCAACAGAATGACACTTTAGAAACATTTCGATGATTTTTTCCTCTTCTGACACTTTCCGGGTCTGACAAACAGTGTAATTTTGGCTTTTTTTTTTTTTTTTTGAAGGATGACATGCCTTTCCAAATCGCTGGCGGGTTGCTGTTACTATGGTAACAACAGCTGCAGCCGACGGAAATCAAGAGTGAAATCAGACAAATTCTAACGTGTGCTCATCGTGTCATCATGTTTGATTTGCAGGGAACACACAGTATCCTAATTACAGATAGAATGTCCTCTTCTACAGTCAGTAAATATGAACTATTCTGTGAAGAATGAACCGTTATCTTTTAAGGCTAACTTATCTGAGCGGATAAACAAAGCCGTGAGTCTCTGAGAGTAAAATCCTAAACTCTCTCGCACCTTTCTCTGGAGACGCTCGTTCATTGGCCTTCTCAGCACGTAGAGCCGACACTGAATCTTTCATGACCTGAAAGCTATTGGATTAAGCTGATATTTGAGAGACTGTCATTCACTAAGGAGACGTGCGCAGGGAAAATGTCAAAGACAAGAGGCTCTTTGCTTCTGACAAATGACAAGAGGAGCCCTCAGCGCGTCTGAAAGTGCACATGAAGGCTTTCGGCACGTGAATTACAACGAGCGCGACGTTAAGGTGACTTATGTTTTTTTACAGGACACAACATAAACACACAGCTTTGCAAATTAAAATGGACAACCAGCTTTCTTTTACTGAGCTTTTAAGGCTTAAACGGGATATAAACAGACAGGCAGGCCTGATCTAAGAAGGGGCAGATGTTATAAAGCAGTGATTTCCAGCCCGTAATGTTCCCCATGGGGTGGTTCAGCAGTTGCCAGAGGGCACATGGAGAAACTGTAGAGTAGCTTAGCTTATTTGGAGAAAAAAAAAGAGAAAAGAAAAAAGGAAATAAATCCCTGAAAAGTACGTGTCGCCAGGGAGGATATGTGAAAAGTAGGTAACAAACTCGCAGAAAAGTTCACTAAAAGGAAATACTTGTTAAAATACTTCGCTAAAAGAATGAATATTAAAAGTAATGGATGCAAGATTGAAATAGTTAAATATAACGGATAAATGGATGAACTAGCTATAAATGATAGTAATATTACTACTACTACTACTACTACTAATAATAATAATGATAATAATAATAATAATAACAAATAGTTGAAATCGTTAAGTGAGTTATAGAGTTGAAACAGTTACCAACAATGGAAAATGAATAAAATAAATAGCTAGGAAAATGAATAAAAGAAGTACAACAAGCTAAAAGTCAGTTCTAAAAGCAAGCCAAAAAAATGTACCAGATAATTATTTGAAATTCTCACAGTATTGTTAGAAAAAATGTCAAACGTTATTTCATTATTCGTTTAACCTTCTGGATCCTAAAACCCACTGGTGGGTTTGAAAGGCATGTTGTCTTTTTTTTTTTTTTAAATGCAAAAATGACACCATTTATCAGAGTCACAAAATGTATTTTCAACTTTCCGATTGCCCTTGAAGTAGTCAACTGTAAAAAAGTGTTCAATTGTGAAACTTAAAATCAACATTTTACTAAAATCCTTTTATACTACATGTCTCGTTTGAAAATCTGTCAAAAATAAACCATTTCAACCATCCAGATTTTGTGAAAAACAAAAAATTCCACATTTCTTGGCATAACTGAGAAGCCATTCGTGACTCAGCTACAATCAACAGTCACCTGACAAAAATTCAGAAACCTTTTGGCTGAACTGGGCTGAACTGCAGGCTGTGTTTATAGGAAACACGTACAGAAACTAATTAAAAATGTAAGTCGTGTACATATTTTACATGATTTCTTTTTTTTTTTTTTTTTAATGTTCTGTCAAACAAGAAATGAATTAAATTCAACTTTCATTTTTCTTCTTTTCTTAACGATTTAGAGCATTATAACTTTGTTTTACTGCACACAAGTCATATTTTTCGTTCTCTCTGTTTGTAGCTGTGCTTGTGCTGTTTCTATAGAGGTACAGAACAGTAAATTGAACTCATTGTGGACATGACATGTGGCGTCCATGAAGGGTTCCTTGAGTTGATCTGACAGAGCCGTGGGGGCATGTTGGGCAAAGAAATAAAGATTTTGGGACGCACTGCTGCAAAAAGTGAAGTCATATAACATGAGTTCCTCCAGTGGAGACGTGAAGCTGAAGGTCCAGCCCTCTCTCATGTTTGCACATAAGTCACGGAGCAGGCCGTCACTAAGCAGACTAACATAACAAATAACTGCAGGAAGCTCTTTGGGTCTCGTCTGAAAACACAGGGGTTCCTGTGAATCCAAATGACCTCCCCCAGCCTGGTCCGTGCACCCTCTTCCTTTGAAGTGACTGATGCATACAAGGCAGAAACAGGATATAATATCTCCCGACTTCCTCGACCACATGTGCTGACATGGAGAGACACGATATCCCACAAGGCTCTGTCTGTTTAACTACACCGTGATGATCAAGTATTTACTCTGCCTTCAGCGTGAGACAACAGCGACCACCGAACTCATTTCTCGTTGGGATTTTTGTGTTTGCATAAGCACATCTAGGCATCGGCTCATGAGCGGAATGCAGTTTCCATTTTATATTCGGTTATATCGCTGTTTGCCAGGAACAACAGTGCTATAACATACTGTCAGGATGATGGGTAACACATACCATGTTGTAAATTGAATTTACAGTGCGGGCGTGTGTGCGCATTTCCATGATAAGTGCTAACAGGCCCACCAGTCCAGGTACTTACATCTGGTCTGAGGCTGGCTGCCCGCTCGTACTGCGCTTCTGCTGCCTCGTTCAGATTGGCCTGTCTGGAGAGAAAGAAGAGCAGAGAGTAAAAAATGTGCACATAATAACACAATTCATACGAATAATAATCACATCACACAAATACAAATTGCTGCTAATGGTGGTTTCCATTCACTGTTAAAGTGCTTATCATAGAAATGACTGCAATTACCGTTAGTCATTCATTAAGTGTATTAGTAAGAAAGAAGTGTCTCTGATGAGCTTCACTGAAATAATCATGTTCTTTGCAGTTTAATTTCAGATGAGCTACCAGTTACTCAGATTCATGCATGATGTTCTGATTTTCATTTCTTTTTTATCAGGTAAAATGACGCTAAAAGCAACATTTTGCTGCACTTTGCTGCACAAACACAACGCTTAAAACAAAAATAACTACTTGTGTGATTTTTGTTTAGCAAAGTGTGTAAATGCATTTTAACCTTATCTTTGTAGCCCAAAGCCTAACAATGAGTTTGAAAGACATGTTGTCTTTGGAAAATCACAAATAAGCCAGAAACAGAATGAAATGTTGAATTTTCAACACTCCAACAATCCTTGAACTCATCATGTATCAACTGTATGTAAACCAAATCTAAGCTAGCTATTATATATAGAGATATATTGTAAAGATATTTCATCAAAAACACTTTATTTTACACGTCTCATTTAAAAATTTACAAAAGAAAAAGATGTTGGCACTAAAGCGATTCTATAACAATTAAAAATTCTGCCCTTTTTGGCACAACTTTGGAGCCACTAGTCACGAAGCTATGAGCAAAAGTCATGTGACAATAAATTGAAGGGTTTTTTCCTTGACTTTGGTTGACTTTAGGATGTGTTTACACAGAGCAGGTAGGAGGTAAGTATGAAAACAAATTAAAAATGTAAGTAGCAAAATATCTGTAGTATTTACAGCCACCTTTATGTTTCCTGTATTGGCAGCTTTCAGGTGCACTTGGAAAAATGTTGTACGTGAATGTTTTTTCAACTTTTGTAAAAGTATTAATTAAAAACAGTAAACTATTTTTTTTTCTTTTTGTGATTTATGGCATCATAATTGTACCGTACTGCACTAAAGACATTTCTGTCCTCTCTACTTATAGTCACGGTTGTACTGTTTCCATAGAGGTGCAGGACTTTATATTGCAGTGAAAAATGAACCCACAGTGAGTAAAAACAACAGAAGCAACAGCAACAACAACAACAACAAAACACCAAAAACTGTTTGCATTTCAGAGGATTCATTGTGTAGGTTCAAGCACAAACCGACTGATAATTAAGACATAAGATACTTATTTACAATTAACACTTGGACTTCTTAGTCCACTGAGAAGCTGCTCAATAACACCCTGTTGAGCACATTCTGTAACACCAAAGGACGGCACAGATCCTCGTATATATTTTATATTTGCTTGTAAAATAATAGAACTTCCAATGAAATCATTAATAAAAAATGTTCTAGAAGAGCTTTAATAAGTCGTCTTGTAATAACTCGTGTGTTGGGGCACTGACTGACCACATCAGGACTTACTTTGAGACGACTTGCTTACTGTACATTATGTCTTCGTTGTTATTCAGAGGATGATGAAGCACAGATGAAGAAAACTGGAAGTTTCGACGCCAAAAATATTTAAACACCAGCCTGTTCCCCCTTTACATGTTACATCTGGGTATGTAAAGTGGCAACAGCTAATCTTCTCCATACATACAATTTTATTCGAGGTGTACATGAACCGGACTTTGCTCTGCCAAAGCTAATAAAGTCGAAGAGACCATTCCTTCCTGACATGGTAATTCATGTTTATAGGGCTGTGATTCAAGTAAAATAAGTTGTCAAAACACAGGGTGCATTCGAGTTCAGAAGTGATAGCATGGTCATCATCCTATACTGTCCTGTCTTGGTCTTTCTTTGTTTGGTCAAGTGCGAAAAAAGTTGTTGGGGGAGTTCAACTCAAAGGCAGCGTCATGAGGTATCGAGGGAGACATAAAGTCATTCTTCTTCTTCTAAAAAAAAGCTTTAATGCTAAACATGTAAAAAGATCTCGCTGGTAAATCACTTAACATATCACCATTGCTCCGCTGGCACAACTTGTACGAAGGCAATTAGGAAAATCTTTCATCGCGCCGGATTGTCAGGTCATTATTATGGTCCTGTTTATGGTCAGTCATTCGCCGCACGTCGAGAAAAGCCAAGACTTCCCGGCTCATCTTTATTATCAGCGGAGTGGCTCTGACGGCCGCGTGTCACATCATTAAACCCTAAATCCTAATCTGTTTGGATTTATGTCACAAAAGAGCCTCAGCTTAGAATAACCAGTCGCACCAGAACACAGCAGAATGATCTGTCATTTGGATTTATTCTTACGTTTCTTAAACCTCGGCCAAAGACTTTTAGTTTTTTTTTTTTTTTTACAAATCCTCACTGGCGGTGCATCGCTGCTCCAGAGCAGTAATGACTTTTCCAGATATGTAGAGCAAAAAAAAAAAAAGGAATCGAGGTACATCATTCCAATATTCCCTTCACTTTGCTGGGAGGAGAGGACATTCGCAGTCCCTTTTGACACGCTTTAAGATTTATAAGCTGTCTGTGCACGTGCTTGCCAAACTTTGGAGGGAAAATTCTCCGATGGCTTCTTTACAAGCCCTGGACCCAAATCTCGCCATGATGGACTGAAACTGCGCGGCTGTTTATACATGTAATACATAATAACTTTTATAGCAGCTTTTCCATTGAGAGGACATTTACTATTCCATAACGCTGGTATAATTTATATTTCAAAGATGGGTTTTTGCATGGCAGCGTTACAGAAAGAAAACCCACAAATGTTGAAGCAGCGGCAAACTTTGCAAATACGAGAATTCCAAAATGTTTTTCTTAAAATATCCGTTGGGTGAATTTTCTCGACTAGTACTGGGAAGAGGGAAACCCCACTTGGAAGTGAGCTGTTTAGCCAACCTGAGCATGTGTGCAGCGCTGAAGACCACATCAAACTCAGAGTTGTCCAGCTCCGCAGCTCTTACTGCCATCTCTGCAGCCTCGCCAAGACGAGACTGCTCCAACAGAAACTGGCCTGGAGGGAAAGGAGGATGGAGAAAGTTATTTCCAGGAAGCAGTAGAAGTTTTGTTAAAGACATCTCTGGTTTTAAAAAAAAAGCCTTATTAACGTGTTCATACAGTGTTTTTTATACGCTAGATGACATATCATGAGCGAAAAACGAAGGCAGCGCTATGGCTGAGTATTTTCACCCGTCTCACAAACATGGATTCCGACTTTCAAGGTTTTATACAAAACAAATCGTATGAACCAATCCCGTAGAGTGGGGCTTTCTGGATCATTATTCTTCTTCAGAATTCCGGTTCAAATATGTGTGGCTGAACTGCTCCAGTGTCACAATTTGCCATTACGTAGTGGTTTTACATTGTTTGAGCAGGGTCGTAAGTGAGCTGGTGTGCTCAAGCTGCAGAAAGTGCCATCAAAGATCTGCAAATGCTGAAGCAACAGTGTAGAAGTGGGAGGAAGGTGTTATGTACAACTTTAAATGTGTAACTTTGATACACAAAGATGAGCTTTAGGGGTTTAAGCAAAGGCAGATAAGAGTCTTTATGGACTTTTCAGGCACAAGGCAACACTGGTTTTCAGTCCACAACTTTTGTCATGACTGAAATATCTCAACAACTACTGGATTAAGGTAAAATTAATGATGGTCCCCAGAAGATGGATCAGAATGACATCTGTGATTCTTTGGCTTTTTCCTCACAAGAACTTGACATTGTGAGTGTTTTTTTTTTCAATCTCATCACCTATTAATTGATGATACACCACCTAGTACATGTGCAAGCATTTCACTGGACTGCCACAAACTTGATCACATAAAGTGTTCATACATAATGAATCCGTCTTCCCCCCCTTGTGCCACCGTCAAGTGCAAACATCACCATATGTATTGGATGGACTGCCATGACATTTGGATCAGATGTGTATGTCGTAATTACAATGAACTGTTCAAATGTAAAGCTTCAGTAGGAAGAAATAAACAACGCCCACCTCCTGTAGCTTTCCCTTGCGTCAGTCCTCTGTCTAACTCATTGTGCCACCACTTCTGACTCCCGCTGTGTGCTTTGAGTGAAAAGACCTGAGGTTGGCTGAAATCTACCATTTACAGACTTGATTTCCTAAAGCCTGACAATGGGACCAAGATGTGGAGGTGCAGAAGTGTAGTTTCCTCTCAGACCACTTGAATTACAACATACTGAAGGATTAATATGGATTTATTGCTAGAACAATCTTGCCTAACTTATACGTTAGCTGGTTTAACACTATAATGCGGTCAACATTTTAACTTGCCCAATACGTTGTGTCCAAACTGTTTAATCCTGATCAAGGCACCTCTAACTGATGCTGTCTACACAAACCATACATAACATAACATAGCTGTCACAAAGGGAGAGCACAATTTGTCTCAGGACGCTAGGGACGCACATTTTGAATAATTTTCCTAATTATTGGCAGCATTATCAATCAATAATTGAAAACATGAACTGACCACAGCGGACATTTGTCCTCTGCTGGTATTGCTGTTGTAATCAATAGATATATGACATGGGCTGTGTTACATATACCACTGGGATGTGGGACGGTTGTCCTAATCGATCTCATCTCGTCTTAAGCACATGAGCTCGGGTCAGAGGTCATTAAGCATCACAGAGGTCTGTGTCATGGTGTAAGTGAAACCCCCACAATGCTTTCTGCTTGCCAACCAGTCGACCAAATGATCGTCCTTTTTTCGGGTATATTAATACCGTTATGCATCAGCTGTACTTTGTGTTTAGGTTTGTGTAGCTAATTAGCAGGTGCAAGCATGCTACTAAACTCTGCTGATTTACATAATAAGACATCATGCCTCAGCTGCGAGGCGACGGTGCTAACCACCGATCCACCTCGCAGCTACAAGATCCCTGGTTCGCGTCACGTTGAGGACACCCAGGATCTTTCTGTGTGGAGTATGCATGTTCTCCCCATGCAGCGTGGGTTCTCTCCAGGATCTATGGCTTCCTCCCACACAGTTCAACATGCTGAGGTTCATTGGTGATTCTAAATTGTCCGTAGGTGTGAATGTGAGTGTGCTTGGTTGTCTGTCTCTAAGTGTAGCCCTGCGATAGACTGGTGACCTGTCCAGGGTATCTCCTTTGTCTGATATTTACATTTGTTTGATCATCTTAAGCATTAAAGTGGGGAAAATATGCAAAAAAAATAAGAATTTGAGAAGGGGCAAATACTTTTCCACAGCACTGTAACTCAAAGAATGACTAAGTATATCCTCATTGCGCTGCTAGCATGGCTGCAGACTCTTTGTCTTGCTTCCTTGCAAATGGCAGTCAAGTTTATTCTTTGGTATCATGCTGTGGGAAACAGATGGAAGTGGGATGAGGGTACAAAAAAGACGAGGAAAGAAATGAAGATGAATGGAGGATGTGATGGATGTCACAGGGAGGAGGAGGCAGAGAAAGAGAGAGAAGTGAGACAGTGGAGGACTGTAGGATTGTTGTTTTGCTCAGCAGCATTCGAGAACACCGATGAGACGGGGGTATTTCGTGCCTTTTCCTGTGGGAGTCTGGCCACCTGGTGCGGCACCCACAAGTGCCTGCTTCAGCGGCCATAAATTAACAGCCGTGCCCGGTTACAGATGTTGCTGAATGTAGGAAGTGAGGAGCTGCGAGGGATGCTCCTCTGACGCCTTTGTCTGTTTGCTTTCTTGTACTGAAAGCTGACTGCATTTGTTAGAATGCAGGCTCCCAAAACAAACTCCAAAGCAGACTATTTACAAGTGGGTCATGCGGGGGGGAACGGTTTCCATTAAAACGTGTTACTGTGAACAATGGCAGGAAAGGGGACCTTGTCTTTCATTTTCTGTTTTCACCCCCCTGTGTCCTCCCTGCTCCCACATGTGTGCCTTTGTGCATCCGCTGTGTTACAACGTGGACAGATATCATCACTCCTCACGCACCTGGAGCTCATCCACTGACCCCGGGGTAGCTTAAGCGGCCAGATTTGAGATAAAGGAGCAGCCCAAATAAACATCACCTATAGCAAGAAGCTACAAGATAACATAGGGAAAAAAAAGGAAAGAGTGTAGGGACTGGAGAAGAAGGGGAAGCAGCTCGGTCCAAAGACAGCAACAGACGCCCCCGCCGCTGACCAAACTAAACTAAAAATCCAAGATATCGGCGCAGAGAAAGCACCGGGAGGAATGGAGGGAGATAAGGGAGAGGAGAAAGGGACAATGCACAATGGCGCTTTCAGCTTGATAGGACAGATTTAATTTCCTATGAATATCCCGGAGATGGTAACACGTAGCTGCACGGAGCCGGTTCCTTCAGACATGATAGGAAACGTCGCATTTTAACTGCGGCAACCGGAGGAACATGGTGTTTTTTTTTTTGCTCTCCGTTACCAATGGTAAACAGTGTATTCTGATCCGGTCTCCTCGCTCAGATAAACACAGCATACATGTCTGTTTGTGTGTGAGTTTGCACCATCTGCAAAGTCCCAGACAGATCCGAGCGCTGCCAACATTGGTACGAAGAGCCAATTAAATGACAGTGCATTGCAAGCAGTAGTTTTTGGAACCAGAGGAAAAGATGAGGGATACTTTGCTGCTTCAATTTAAAAAAAAAACTCTGAACATGTTCCAAATTTTTGCCTCCAAAAACCCAATTTCAATTAATAACAGTTTAACAACTGCACGGCCAGATTAAACCTTGGGCCCTGTGGATAACGGGCAACTGGGAGAATTTTTAAATACAATAAGTAGCTATCTCTTGTGTATCATTAAGCAAGAGTGAAATTTGAAGAAGTTCACTAAAAAACAAAGACAAAATTCTAAATTACAGAGTCAAAAACAGCTTTAGAACCATTCTTCTGATGGTTCTGAACCTGCTCTCTCCACCAGATCAGATGCAAAGACACGACACACGACAGAGCTGCATCCATTTTAATCGTAATAGAGCCAGGCAGCCTCTCTTCTGAGTTTAACAAGCTCAGCAACCTCCTCAAAGCAGCACGTGCAGCCTGGTCCCAGCACGGGGACTGCCAGCGCGGAAAGCGTTAACAGCTCTATCTGAGGGTGACACTACAAAGGTTGCGTCTTGGATTAAAGAGCGTTACAGAACTCTGCCTAATTACGAGCATGAGTACAGCTTACTGCAGCAAAGCCCGATCATTACAGTGCAGCTACAAGTGCTGCACAGCCGAGGTTTGGATTATAAGCTGCCATGTTGGTGGGAAGAAGAAAAAAAAAAAGCACTTCAAAATAGGTTTTTAAAGCTCCGTCAACTGCAGAGATGTTTTTTGAAGATGGGGGACATTGTTATAATTAGAACGCCTGCTTTCAAAAAGGCTTTGCGGTTTATAAATAAAGCTTTTGATTTCTTTTCTTACCATAGTGCATGTAGCAGTTTCCTTTCGTCGGGTCGAGCTGAATCGCTCTCAGATAGTACTTCTCCGCTTCTGTCTTTTGCCCCTAAAATGAAAACAAAATGCAAATCAGTGATATTTAAGTTTTGTTGTTTTGATGTTTTTCTTTCTTTCTTTTTATTTTTTTGTGCAAAGGCACAAAGCACATTTTGATGTAATTTTTCCCCCCTTGAACGCTTCACATATGTAACATAAATTGTCTACACCTAATAGGAAGAACACTGGTTACCAAGCAACTGACACAACTTCGAGCAAAGGAGGGTAAAGCCGTCTCTTAAAAAGGGACTAACAGCTTGTGTGCCGGGGCTTAGGCGTGTTTCTGGTGCCAAGATCTTATCTGTGTATTGAGCAAAAGATTTGTGAAAATGTAAATATTCAGCTTCCATCAACTGATCTGTTTTTAATCATGGGAAAAAAAACAAACAAAAAAACCTCCTAAACTACACCAGATATTACAAAATGGACAAAATATGACGATAAAATAAAACTAAAATTGCACCAAAACCACAATATGAAACATGTATCATGTATCGCTGGGTGTCAGAAATGGATACAGAACAAACCACAATTATCTGTTTACTGCATCCGCCCTGATTTGTTGTGGTGCGCTGACATGCATCAGCTGAGCCACGGTAACCCGGCTGCTCCCTATCAGCAGGAGATGGATGCTAATAAACCTACCTCTCATGCCTAACCTTTAAATAAAAACCTCCCAGGTGTGTGCATGTGTGCGGACCTGCAACCAAACTGAGAAAGATATTGCTCCTGTGAGCTGGAGCCTCCATTTCTCCACCTCTTTTGTTTCATGCTTCAGCACTGATTGCTTCCATATTGCCAGCGGACTTGCCATGCAACAAGAAATGAGAGGACCGGGCACATTAGGTTTGCTTCATTAGCTTCTTCCCATGCCCGCAATCGCTCTTAATGAAAGAGTGACTATAGGGCCTGGATGGCTTATTTCGCATTTTCTTTGGCTCCATCCTTTTTACATTCAATTAAACCTTCTCCCAAAACCATCCATCAGAACCGAAAGTACGGTGGTTCAGTCCAGTTCAGTAGGAGTAAGTCATCATTTAGCAGATTTAGGAAAGGTTTCAGGTCAATGTTTAAAAAAAGGATCCAGTCTTTTAAACAGCAACTATTTAAAGGCAGTCTTGTGATTTGTTACTAGATTAAGGGTTAGTGTACGTACTTCCACATCAGAACACTTTGACCATATTTAGTCTTTTGCATTATTCAGTGGCTTTTCTACAGGCAGAGACAGTTGTTAGTATTAGTGCTGAATTATCTACACTTGGAATCGGAAGTTTACATACACTCAGGTTCAAATCCTTAACACAGCACGGTATAGCTTTGGCAAGTCAGTTACAACATCTACTTCATGTATTTTCTCCAACAACAGTTTTAACGACAGATTTTTTTCACTTTCAATTCACTACATCACATTTCCAATGGAAATGCAGCCATCATGCTACTAAGGAGGCAGACATGTTTCGTCTCCTAAAAACAAATGTACTTGGGTGGGAAAAGTGCCAATCAGTCCCAGAACAACAGTAAAGGGCCTTGTGAAAATGCTAAAGGAAACAGGCCCTTAATTATCCATATCCATAGTAAAACAAGCCCCAAATCGATATAACCTAAAAGGCTGCTCACAAAGGAAGATAAGCCACAGCCTCCAAACCACCATGAAACAGCCAGTTAGCACGTCTAACTTCAGAGGGGCACAAAGATCTTACTTTTTAGGGGGAAAATCCTCTGAGTTGTTGATTTTTTTGAGAGGACAAAGATGATAATTGCAAGCTGAAGAACACCATCCAAACAATAAAGCATGGTGGTGGCAGCATCATGTGGTGGGGATGCTTTGCTGCAATGGGGGCTGGTGTAATTCACAAAATAGGTGCATCATAAGGAATAAAAGTTACATGTTTTGTTTGGTTTGGTTGCAAATAGGTCTTCCAAAACGGACAGTGAGCTTAAATTTGCTTCCAAACTTGAGGCAAAATGGCTTAAGAGGCAACAAAGTCTCCTGACCTCACTCTCATAGAACATCTGTGGGCAGAGCTAAAGAAAACATTGAGGGCTACAAATCTGACTCTGTTCCACCAGTTTGGTCACGAAGATCGTCCAAAAATCCAGCAAGCAATTGTCAGAAGCTTGTGGAAGGCTACACATAGGTTTTCAACAATTTTTTTTTTAACTTCCGATGATGCTTGAACTACTTATCTGTGACACAACAAATGGTGAGAAAACGTAACCAAATCCAAGATTAAAATCATGACATTTAATCTAAATTAGTTTGTTATACCTCAATGAAAAAAATATCTGCCAAAAAACAGACTGTTTTTGCAGATTTTGCAAAAACCTATAAAATACACACTCCTTGGTGGAACCCAAGAGCTTTAAGTAGCTCAGCTGTGACCAAGAATCACATGAAAAATTGTGGGGGCTTTGTAGGCTTTGCTTAATCAGAGAAGGCAGGTATGGAAACCAAATAAAAGAGCAAGTAGTAAAATATCTACAGCATGTAGTCACCATTTTCAAGTATTGGTAACACCTGTGAGCAGTAGGAAAAATGTTGTAAATGTTAAAGCCAGTTTTTGTTCAATATTTGGACAATAAGTAATAAAGGAAGAACTTTAATTTGATCTTTTTCATGATTTTCGCCATTGTAACAGCGTCATATTGTACAACATATATTTTTAAGCCTTCTTTACTTGTAGCCACGGTTGTGCTGTTTCCCCGAGAGGTCTGACTTTATATTGTAGTGGAAAATGAGACTACAGCAATTAAAAACACTAATAATCAACTGCTTGGAGTTCAGAAGGTTAAACAATTTAAAGACGATGTATGTAAACCTCTGACCCACCGGGAATGTGATGAAAGACATCAAAGCTAAAATAGTCTCTCCACTGTTCCTCTGACATTTTACATCCACTTAAAACAAAGTGGGGATCCTAACTGACTAAAAGCAGAAGATGATTACTGGGATTAAATGTCAAAAAAATATGGAGAAAAAAAAAGTTTTTGGCTAAAAAGAATGTTAACTTCAACTGTAGATATACAGCTGGGGTTGAATTCAGCTTGGCGGTAAGTGACCACAGCGTTTGTTAATGCGCACAACTCCACTCTGACTAACATGACACCAGACACCGTGACCTTGGGAAGAATCACGCAAATTAGTGGCTTTGCCGTTGCACTTATTTGCTGAGAGATGTGGATTTGTACAAGCCTATCAGGTTCCAGCTTTTATGATTGTGTGGATTTGCTTTTGTCATTTTTTTATTTTTGTTTTTTTTTTGTGGGTCACTTTGAAAGTGTAGTTGCACTCAGAAAAAAAAACAGCACGAGAGCTCATGTCGGGGTGAACCGCAGTACAAGCCTCGAGTTTGACCTTTTTGTCTGTATTGTCGATTGACTCCAGCAGGACGGCCAAAAAAATGTAGTCGATGGGGTGATTCAATAAGGAAGCAGCGTAATTGCATTACAGGGCTGTCCGCTGGCCTATTGTCCGGGGCCCATCCGATCTCCTGTTTCTTAAGCCCTGCAGTGGTGGAGGTGGCCTCTGTGGGGACGGATCCGGAGCCCCGAGCCTGAGGGAGCCGAGCAGATGTCCAGCCACACTGGGCGACTCGAATCTGAACCTAACTTTAATGTGTGTTAAAATCTTCCAACCACGAGAGGTGCCGGTCAGAGCTAAAGCCCCTTCAGGGTTGCAGCTGCAAATGTGTGTCAGTCTGCAGGTCGGTTGCGTCTTTACTCAGCACCCGAGGCTGAGTAAGAGGTCTTCGGTAAGGTTACAAAGGTTGCACGGTTCAACTCCCAAATCTAAACTCGACTCAGCTGTGTACACATCTGTTGTCTTCTGAGTGTGTTGTTGTTTTTATGGGATAGGAGAGCTGGTGGAAGTGCAGGTTTTTTGTTTTTTTACACGCATTAGAAGTTAATATCTGGGAGAAGCTGGGTAAGTTTGTGTGCCCTTGGACGCCTTCTAGCTCTCACATGTACACAGAGATGATCTGGAACTCGTCCAATCACAGAGGGATAGCTTTCATCTACAAACTCCCCGTGTCTCTGACCTTCAGACATCAGACATGTATTTATGCAGCTCCTACATTGCAGTTCGTCAAGGTTTTTTTGGCATCAGTCCTGCATCGGTGTCAGCTCGAGGTCAGCGAAAGGCTCTTCGCTGTAACATCTCTGTCTTAATTCCTTCTTTCACGCTGTGTTATCGGTTTTCCAGCTGACTAGTAGTGCTGGAGGTCAAACGCTGTATTCATGAAGGCATCAGAATTCATCCTTTGCTTCCGATCGGGGGAGAGGAGTTTGTTTAGCAAACACCTTCCCCCAGTCGGAGGCTCACACCTAATAACAATTATCACGCTTCTCCAGGCTCTGCAGAGGAATCAATAGGATGGCTTCGCCTTGCTCCAGTGTCCCATAAGTCACTCAATATGCATTATTCATCACTCCACTCTTCCACTTTAGGTCCCATTTAATTACACTCTGCCACATAGTTAACCACCGAAATCATTACTAAGATAATGTTAAGTCTCCCGTGTGAGTGTGTCTGCCTGTGTTTGTGCGTCTGTGACGGGACGTACGATGATGGACAGCAGTTTGCCGTAAGTGAGGTGGGCGGGGATGTGGTCAGGCTTGGCCCTGAGGGACTCTCTGTACCAGTGGCCCGCTTCCTCCAGCCTGTTCAGCCTCATGTAGGCCTCTCCTGAAACAGATCACAGGTCAGGGTTAGTTTTTACAGAGAATAATAATAAAAAAATTACATTTAACCACTGAACCCCGGTGGGTTTGAAAAGGGACGTTGTCTCTATAAAATCACTATTTATCAGAACCAGAAGCTGTAAAAACTGAACCAAACCTTAAGCTAAAAATTGTGATATTTCATCAAAATCACTTTATTATACATGTCTCAATTAAAGAATTCAGTTTTCTTTCTAACCAGATTCTGTAAATAATGTAAAATCCTGAACTGGGTTGAACTGCAGAACACTTAGGAAATGAGTATCTAAACAAATGTAAGTAGTAAAATATCTGTAGCATGTAGATTCAACATTAGTTCCAGTATTAGTGACACTTGTGGGCTCTTGGAAAAATGTCAAACAGCTGATTTAAGTTTTGTTTGGGTTTTTTATAACGAAAAAAGAAGTGAAACAAATTCACTTTAGTTTTTATCTTTGGTCATGATTTAAGGCATTATAACTAAGTCACAATACACAACAGAAACTTTGAGTTCTCTCTACCACTGTCTACGGTTGTTCTTTTCCCATAAAGGTGCAGGAATTTATATTACAGTGAAAATTAGTAAAAACATGACAGGAGCAAAAAAACATCCAGAAAATGATCAGGGTTCAAAGGGTTCAAAATGAGAAAATCTTTCAAGAAACTCAAAAGTGTTTTTAAAAAAAAACAGCTTCTTATCATGTCTATTTTCACAAGTTTCAAATAAAGAGAATTGCATCAACACTCAAAGATGAAATGCTTGCAAACAGGTGATTTTTTATTAATTTTCACAAAACAACATGACTGTAAACTATGGCCAACTGTGTCAAGATTGTTTTTTTCATCATCACTTTCATTAATGACACTCTAGTTGCTTGAACAACTGTTTATCACTGTTGCTTTTTCTTACCTCAGCTCTGTTGGCCTTTTTTTTTTTAATTATTTAAAGTTGACTTACAGACAAAATAGAGCCGCTGGAGCTCATCATGGCAGCTTCAGCCTCTCAGCCTGCCCAAGCACACACACATGCACTAAACCGCCTGCTTAAGCCAAACTCACTAATACTCTCCCAGTTATTGAGATGTTTGGACTCTGATGAAACCTAATTGTAGATCTAGTTAAACTATTTATGTTATCATTTTTAATTTCTGTCATTCCAACCTCTGTATCCAAGTGCACAGATAAAAATGTACGACTGTGTCTCCAAACATTAGCGTCATCCAAGAGGCCGGTTTTAGAAAATGTGTCCATATGGTCGACATTTTAATGTATGCAGATCGAATCTCTGAAAGAACAATTGTTCTTCTAAAAACTCTGGGATTTTGTTGGATCCGCGGACATGCTGTCGCCCCCCTGAGGTAAGAGGATCGGACGATGACATCAGTTTTGACAAAGTATCCTCCGGCAATCACACTTAGACAAACACTGCCCTCCCTCCACCTGACTAAACACATTTCCTATTTCCCATTCAGCCCGTCCGAGGAATTCACACAGACATCTCTCTGTAATCTCAACTATGTCATCAGGATGAGCTTCCAATAATGTAATTAGTGCTACAATAACAAAGAGGGGGGATGTGATTTATTACACGGATTATCTTCAATTTTCATCAAGAAGACACAAAGTCTACGAGCTGCACTGGTGGAATCCAACAGGTGGTTCAAGTCCTGTGAAGGGTTTTCTTTGGCGGTGACTTCATTTCGATTTGTCGAACTCAACTCAAAGCTCAGATAAAATAGAACGTTTAAAATAGAAACAAACACGCAAGAATCATCGTCGCTGCTCGAGCCAAACTCGTCCCAGAGCTGCACATCATAAAAACAATCATACATTTGTTCTCCACAATTGAGGAAAATCTAATAAAAAAAAAATGCTGCTATCTGATGAAAACACTTCTTAACATTTCAAAGCAAGTAAACCAAAAATAATGAGTTTCTAGTCTTGTAAGCATTATTAAACAAAGATTCAGGTGGGAAAAAGCCTCCGACAGTGACTCACCCATCATGTTGAAAAGGCTGTGTGGTGCAAACTGTCTGGGCATTTTCTGCACTGCTTCCTTATAAATAGCCAGAGCCTCCTGTAGTAGGAGGAGAAAAAAAAGTTAATTGAGCAAGTCCAGCTTTTGGTTTGCATCAGCATAAAGCAGGTCTGGTAGCTGATGAGGGTCTGCAGTTGCTTTGTCACTCTGACATGATTAAACCTTTGGTCCAGCGTTGCGGATGAGTGGTTAAATCGCAAGTGGTAATAAAATCATTGTGAGAAACAATACAAAAAGCCTGTTTATTTACATTTGTAGAAGTGGGACACAAACCGCGTTACAAAGCAGATTTCCCTGCACACACTAACCTCCTGCTGGCCCTGTTCGTGGAGCAGCTTTCCCAGGTTGTACAGGCAGCTGGTGACGGAGCTCTTGTGGGCGTGAGGGTCCTTCAAGTTCTCATCGGGAATGTCGGCGCAAGTGAGGAAGGTGCGTTTGGCCTCCTCCAGGTTGCCCTGGTTCATCAGGATTATTCCTGTGTTCAAGTAGGCCGCTAGGGGAGAAAATGAGGGCGCAACTTAAAGGCACAATCTGCAATGAACAGACCTCTCAATATAGCAAGACTAGAGCGTAAGTTTTCTGAGGCTGTTTGTGTGTGTGTATATGTGTTATTTGTAGTTCTTGTGAGTTCATTGATTCACAACTCCAACTTTCTGAAACACGTTGACATATATGAATATACGAGGTGTGTCAGAAAAGTTCCAGGACTGGCGTCACAAAAGATTTCAAACCCAAACTACAAACTACGAGTTTTCCCCTTCAGATGATCAACCAGCACGTCTACAAAGAGATCCTGCAGCGTTTGCTTCATTCGAGAAGAGGTGAGAGTTGTGGCAGGACAAGTTGTGGCTGCTTCACCGCCTGCTCACAATGCCCTGAGCATCCGACAGTTCCTGGCTGAGAAGAACATCTCCGTGCTGGAGCAACCTGCCTGCTCACCTCACCTGGCTCCGTGTGATTTTTTCCTCTTCCTCAAGCTCAAGGGGGTCATCAAGGGGACCCGTATTGAAGACGTGGACGACATCAAGATGGCTGTGACGACGGAGCTGCGGAGGATCCCGGAACAATCTTTCCAGGAGTGCATGGTGACAGAGAAGGCTGGGAAAGTGTGTTGGACTCAAGGGAAATTAATTTGAAGGGTTTGGATTTGAAATATATCTTTTTTGACACCAGTCCTGAAGCTTTTCTGACACACCTTGTACAAGTAACAAACACAGTCAAAAGTTATAGATTGAGTGGAGTGAAGAAGATGAGTAGACTCCAGAATAAATAACAACACAGGCAAACAATAAATGACTAGAGCCTCACCGATCGGCCAGTATTGGTCAGTCACAGCTGTCTCAAGTTGTCCAACATGTGCCAATATCTTTTACAGAACATAATATAGAAAAGGATCTTTGGGGTAATTTAGAAACAGACTTTGCCAAGCAGAGCAGCTTCAACTCATTTCTTTACTCTTAATGCTGTTCGCAGCACATGCAGCAGAGTACGTCTCACAGCTGAGCAGATGGTGCTGCAATGTGATATACACTGCTGGAGAGTTAAATGAAAACCTTATCATTTTCTCTTTTCAATTTGACTATAACATGCATACACACACACACACACACGCATATGTAACTAACAGTTAATATCAGAATTTCTTCCTCTCTAAAATCCAGTATCAGTCAAACTCTAACAATTACCATGAGAAAAGAAAAAAAGAAATAGAAAAAAAAGGGCTTCAAGTAAGGTTTTCAGGCTGAAAAGACCGTGAGGGCACATGTCCTCTCTCATAAAATTGTCCTTGGTACAGTAAAAGATGGACCCTCATCTCACATGTGACCACTCGGGTGTGAGATTGAATCTCATCACTTCACCGTCAAGCTGAATACGGACCACGCGGCTGAAGAACGTCCAGTTGAGCATTAAAACTGGAGCGTGATTGTAATTCAAGAACAGACCTTTAGCTCACATCCAATTAATCAAAAGATGGACTCGACCAAAATCGAGGATTGTGTGAGGACATCTAACCACTGACAGCAGTGTGATCCCGACCGCTCCACTCATCAAGCGTCAGCTACGAAATTAAACGGTTTACTTACATGCCAGTGTTGGCCGACTCCCGATGGCCAGTTTGTAATAATGCAGCGCTTCGGAGAAACGTTCATTCTCCTGCAGCAGCAAACCCCTGACGCACAAATGAAAATGCAAAAAATGTGAGATATTTGACAACACCACAAGCTGCATTACAATATTTTTTTAAAAGTTAAGGAAGTTTAAAATTGTAGCTCATCAAAGTCATGAGGGGTGAAAGTTAGAATAAAAACACCACAAAAGCCGTGGCAGCTTTTGTATTTCCAGCCTCATGTACCAATACGTGACCCCAATATATTCACCCATCCCTCGTGTTCAAATAGCACCTCCGTTTGAAAGAATGCACACTTCCCCTCTCCCTTTGTTGCTTTGCCAGCTTCCTGACACCCGTAACTTGAGAGCGAGCAGAGAAGTCGGGGGGGAAAAACAGTGTCAGCATGAGAGTAAAAAGACATGGGTCTGCTATGAGGTTTTGGCACCTTTGACACCTTGCGTTGCAGGATTGGAAGTGGTTTTGTGTTCTCCCAGAGGCCCTGCAAACCATGACTAATCAAATCAGCAGCAGAACGTACAAAGGGCCACAAGGGACACGCTAAGTTATTTCCTCTGTCAGTCTTGCATCAAGTCTGCGACTCACTCGCTTTGCTCCACCTGTACTAGATCTATTTCTGTTTGCCTTCTCTTGACTTCTTCCTGTCAGTCACTGCGAGTCTTTATGCTTCAACCCCCTTTTTCTCTTTCTGCCTTTATTGTTCTGCTGCTGTGATCTCAAGTGATGGATGGGAGGAATCAGAATTTGTTCGTGTCAAGACTGTGCAAACAGGAAGAGGAGGAGGTGAGGGTGGAGGAGGAGGTGGAGCGGACATCTTTAACACTCACAGGTTATATAGCATGTCAGCCATGTTCCCTCGGTAGTGCAGAGCGTTCCTGTACGCCTGCTCAGCCTCCGCCATCTTGCCCTGGTTCTTCAGCACGTTCCCCAAGTTTCCCCAGGCTACAGGAGACACACGTCAGTCAATAGAGACCCATCAGGAATACACAGTATTGATATTCACTTAAAGACATGCCATTGATTTTCCGAAATAAACCAAAATCAGTCAATAAAAGACAATCATTGCAGTTCTTATGCTCACTGATGTAAGGCTATTTAGAATAGAACTGATGATAATGTGTTGGAAGAAAAATAAATTCAGCTATATTATCAGAGAAGTTGAAGCTTCAACCAAAGTCAGAGAGCAATTACACAATAAGGAGGAAGGGAGTGGCTTTAGCTGCCCTCTGCCTGTAAAACATCCACTGTGGCCACGATGTTGTTTAATATACAAACTGAACTTCTCCACTTAGGATTGTTTGAAAGAAACTTTTTGGGGGTTGCACTACTGACTTAATAAAAATAACTGACCATTTTTAATTTATTTGGATCATGTTGGAGTTTCCAGTTAAATTCCGCAATTTTACCTTTTCATATGTAAATCTTCATAGACATTTCATACTGTGTTGCATCATATAAAGACATATGATCTGTCCAAATAAAAGATCTTCATTTTTGAGGAAAAGTAATTGTTCAGATCAATCAACTTAGTCAACAAGTACAATTGTCACTGGATGGAAAAACAGTTAATCATGGTTGCCCTAAACGAGAATTAAGTGTGTATTTACATGTTACTACTCCAAAGAAAGTGTTGCCTGAAGGAAGAGAAAGTCACATTTTATTTTCTGTGAGCTTAACTGTGTTACATTTCCTCGAGCGGTTGTTATTATCTTGCATATCTCCCCACTTTAGTCTTTCAAGACTGTGTACAACAACGCCTGCAGTGAGTTTCAGAACACGGAAGGTTACGTGGCAGGTATTATAAGTAGGGACGGGTATTCATTTGAGATGATTCAATCTCTCTGACTGTTTTTGTTTGTATTTAAAAATCTACATTAAACTTCTAAAAAGTATAAAAGTTTGCATTCAGAGAAAATCTCAGTGTGTATTCTTGAGATCTAACAAATGTTTTTAATGCATCTTCTAAGTCTGATCATAACACGTTTTTGGGTTTTGTTTTTTTTTGCATGTTTCTACCACCAAATGTCCATCAGTAGAATGATGTGAACCCATCATCAGGAATTTGTATCATAGTTTTCATCTTTTTGTATGTGCATGAGACAAAAAATGGGACCCACTCATTAAAACATTGCTCCAAATCCTAAACTAAAGCATAAGTGTAGAGTAAGTCAGCAAATTGAACTCATGGCACGAGTTACTCAGCAATTTCCAAACTAACAGTGGTGTTTCCAGATCAAGTTTGGCTGCAGCGGTAAATCCCCTACAGTCCATGTATTGAATCCAAGTGCAGGGTGTGTGTACTGCTTGAGAATTTAATTTTTAAGATATGCAAAGGACAAGAATGTGCTTTAACTGAGAAACTATATCCATCCATTTTCTATACACCGCTTAATCCTCATTAGGGTCGCGGGGGGGGGGAGAAACTATATGAACAAAGAAAATGATTGACTTCCAGCTTCTGGTTCTTGACAGTTTTTTAGACTCTCAGCTTTCAAAGTCTGACTACGGAGGTTTAACACTCAGCCCTAATGATAACTGGTGGCCTTCTTACCTTTAGCAGGATTCACATTAATCCCAGACTTGTAGAGATTTTCCTCATTGCTCCAGTCTTTGTTTCTTTGAACAGTTCTGAGTCCATTCAGCAGCACTAGTCCCATACAGAGACACAACACTAAGGCCTTGCAGCCTCTAGTCCTCAGTCGGACGTACAAGGTTCTCGCACCGGCGGCAACCAGTAAACAAAAGCCGATACTGGGGATGTACAGTACCCTCTCTGCGATTACAAACCCTACGTAAAAGAACAGGTTGGTGGCTGGGAGGAAAGGCAATGACAGGATGCCTAATGAAAACAGAACTAGGCTTTCTGTAGGAGGCAGGGATGTCCGAGGAGGACAGTGGTGGGGTACAGCCGACCCGTTCAGGGTAGTCTTTGGCAGCCCCTGCTCTGTGTTATGGTTTGTGTCAAGGGCATGGTAGCCATTCCCATTAGTGATTGACTTCCCATTAGTGACATGGGCTTTCCCATTGGCGTCCTTGGCTTTGGAGGCGGGACAACGAAGGCCGAACAAAGCCAGAAGGAAAATTCCCCCGTAAAAGGCAACAGTGTGAAGGTTCCTCCAGTCGGCCAAGGACCTGACCAGGGGCACGGCGTCCATGGACCAATCGAAACTGAGCTTGTCGGGGCAGAGCAGGAGCCAGGCGTTGGCGGCGGGCAGGTGGAGGAACGTCAGCGTTCGAGTGAGGAAATGTGGCGAGTCAGCGGCGGGGTTGTCGGAGTTGGAGAAGTTGGGAGGCTTGTTGCCCATCCAGTAGAGACGAGCTGACAGCAGGATGACTCCCCAGGAAGCCAGCAAGCCGAGACTCAGCAAAACGCTGATGTTCTTTTTCTGAAAGAGAGAAGAGAAAAAATGCTGAGGAAAACACCTAAATCAACATTTGGGTCAAAGCAACAGCGGTTTAGTTTGTGTTCCAGAGCACCTGAAGGAGCTTTCATTCAGATGGTTATTTTTTCTGATTTATGTCAAATCTTTCAAGATCTGGGCTGAATCACAGAAACACTTAGAAATGCTTTTTTTTTTGCTTTCTAGGACAAGTTATGAACACCCACTTCCTGTTCTATGTGACAATGTACCTCAGTATGAACTTTTAGGATCTGATTTATGAATCCAACTTTAGGAACTTACTGCTGTACACAGAAAAAGAAATGATATAAAAGCAATCTCTGGAATGTTTTTGGTAGCTGCCTGGGGTTTAAACCGCACTCATGTACAATTACGCGGTTCTCTGTAACACTGGCATACTTCTTCAAATTAAAACGCAGCAAAGCCAGAAACAACACCACTGTGTTTACACGAAAATAGCAAACTATGACATATTCAAACTGGTGAATGATACACTTGGATTTGGACAGCTGTAATGAATGTCACTTTCAATGAGTCGCAGTGTGATTGTTTATATGATGAAACTTCAAACTGCCATATTCAAAGTGGTGAAAGACTATTATTTTGGATTTCACATTTGGTTCGCCAGCAAATTCTGAAATGTCAGGATGGTTTTATTGAGGATAACAGGGGGGAAATCCCAAAGAAGAGAAGAGAAATCAGCGCCCTTCGATAATTTTCCATATGATTAATCCACGCTCCCCTCAGTTTTGACCTGGCTAAGGTCAACTTTGAAGTAAATTTGAAGCATGAGAGGCTTTCCTTCTAAGTCTTTCCTTGTTGCCTGTCAGGGTGAATGTGACTGGTAATCAGCTTAGGACTCATTGTGTTGGTATGTAGATTCTGTTTACATCTCATAAGAGCATTAATTCTGCAGCACGAACACCCTTCAGGTCCGCTGTCACGCAACACCTTTCACCTAACTGTCACACGGCATCTCGGTGAAAACTTTAAACAGCTCCTTTTCTACAAAAACAACATTACAAGCTTAAAATAGCTCCATCAATAGCTGTATTGATAGAGCGCACATTTGGAAGGAAACAGAACATTTTGTTAGTGATGCTTAAATTAGATTCAAAGGCAGTGACAGGAACTATGTGACGCTCTCCAGGGCCAACACATAACTCCTGTCAGTTGCTTCACAACGGGGCTGTATTGATGTCTGCAAGCCGGCAGTTTGAGCTACAACCGCTAAGACATGACAAGGTTGCACGATCACACCCTTGACTCCTCGACCTTTGATCGCCGGTTTGTTAAATTACATTCGTCACTGTCAGCTGCAGGACCGACGACAGCGAGGACGCTTGTATATTTGATTTTTTCTGCTTGTCAGATGTGCTGTCGGACTTCTTCACAGCTGCGTTTTTTGATGGGATTCTTTCTGAAATCAATTACCGCTGATTTAGTGGTGCATTTTTTGCCAAGATTAGGCAAATCTGGTTTCATTTCATTTTTATTAAACACTGATTAAGCCTGACAAGACATATTGACAGTCTGTTATTCATGTTCCTGCCTTCCTAGTGGGTTAAACACAACACAGTGAGTGATGATCACAGAGATGCTGCTCGCTTCCTATTTTCTGACTCCATTTATTCTTTTTCAAGCACCGGTGCAGCATGAACTCTGTTTGAACCAGTCCTGGGGGAATTAGCGCAATGTGTGTGCTGTTTATACTGTGTAGCATCACTGCCCCGGACAGGAGAAGTTTACATATTTTTGATCTAGTAGCTGTGCTATCAGCATTCACTTTGATATAAACAACAATCGGCATCGCTGCGCCCATAACTCACAGTGTTGATCCAGTGCAGCTCTACTTCTTGCTTTTATCTCCTAAGTCAGTTTACTTTATTGTGGTAATAATTCACACTCTCTGTATAATCCACTCCAAATGAATTGCACAATCAAGTCTTTTTCAAAAAAAGCTGCACAAAGAACAAATCAGTTGTCTTTGCTGGAGTGATCATGCCCCAGTTAACTCATGTGTCCCCCTTTCATGCTCCATGATGGAAAACACAAGTTGTCCATAACAAACCCATGCCGGGATTAGAATAAGAGGTTTAGCACTGATTTGCTCTGACCTGCTGGCTCCAGCTCAGCTGTTGATTTCTCCAGATCTGAGGTGGAAAAGCATTTTCTGTGGAGAAGTTATCTCCAGAGGTGGGAGCTGTAGGCACAGCGAGTTACAGAAAGTATTTTGTCGATAGTGAAATGAAAAACGGCCAGTTCAAGGAGTTCAAACATTTCGTTGAGAGGCAGTGAGGAAATAACTACGGGGAAAAAAACAAACAAAAAAAAAATTGGATATTGATTTGGACTGTGAAAGGTGGTACATAAAGGATAAGGGAGAGTGGCTTTTACACAAAAAGGGGGATGTGCTTATTGATGGATGAGACCATATAGCCTGTCAAGGGAGAGAACTGTCTGAGAAATCCAATTCTGATCGGGATTAGAAGATAAGCCAATTTCACTGAGACAGTCATTTGTGTTTTTTTTAGGTGAATGAGCTTCATTCTCCTCCTTGCTGCCTCGTCTGCTTCTAAATCGTTCCTTAATTGACTTAGCGATCAATCACACAAACAACTCAACCTGCAGAGGCCGGTCCTGCTTTTCGGCGATTTACAATGACAAACTCACAAAGTCAGCATCAAATAACTACTTTTATTGCCAAGTTAACAAAAGAATTCTAATGAGTCTGTTCTAGAGGCAATGGGTCGGTTGTTCCAGGAGGCACCAAAGAGAAAAAATGGTTTAAAAGTCATATCCAGCATTGTTGAGAGTCTGGCCTGACCTTGCCTCTGCACTCAGTAGAGTCGTCTCTGGTCAGTTGAAAATTGATCTTCAATAAGCCAACATCAGTTCCTTAACAACTGAATCACTGACTTCACATCTGCATCCTCTAACTGATCTTATAATGTCCTGTAGTTTCTCTACTTAGCTGCTGATTTACAAGATTTTCACGATAATTTCAGTTTAAATTGTGATTCTGTGGTCAAAGCAACAGCATCAGGGCACCATCCTGACTAACAGCCTTAATATTAGCCATTTAGTACTGTTTATTTAAGACTATTTATTTCCCTGTGCATTTTAACTATGAGTAAGAACATGTTAAACGCTCTGAAGCACAAATCAAACTGGCAGGTTTAAAAAGCATGTTATCTTTTCTTTTTTACAGCCAAAAACTGTAAAAACAGAAAGAACCGATCTAATCATGCGCTTAAAAATGTGATATTTCATTCTAATCATATATAATGTATTCTACGTCTCATTTGAAAAATTGCCAAAAATAAATTTGCTCTGACTAGATTCTGTATAAAACTAAGAATTCAGGGAAGTTTTGGCTAAACTGGGCTTAACTGTGTTTACACGGAGCACAATGGACACAAATTACAAATAGAAAGAATAACATTTCTATTGAATTTTACATTTTTTTTACATTTTTTGTAAAAAAAAAAAAAAAAAAAAAGAGTAATCAAAGAAATGTAAAGCTGTATGACATTCTAACTTTGTTATACTGCACAAGACATCTGTGAGTTCTCTCCACTTCTAGCACCATCATCATCTATAATCCTCAAAAGTATCTATTTGTCTATTCTGGGAATTAAGCTAAATATCATAATTAAAGTCATATATAAAAAAGAGATTTGCGTTAGTTCAAACAGGCACGGAATCAGGGTGTCACAAGGCCCCTCCTGTCCAATCGTTCATCGCTTAAGTCCAGCCCACCCACTTAGCATGCTTTATAACTGAGGCAGCATTCATTCATTCTGCCCGCTCCACGCTCACCACATCACTGCTACACCAGCCTCTGCAGATCGACAAATCTCCTCCTCCTCCCCAACCACCTCCCTTTTTAAAAAAAACAGTTCCATTTCATAACCATTGACTAAATAGCCAATCACTAATTATTGTACCTCGGAACTATGTAATCTGGATTCTGTGAAGTGAAGACCATTTAGTTGGTCTCCTTGTTCTTCTGTTTATACTGTATTTGAAAATTGTAAATTCAAGGCTGATGATTCAAGGTGATCTCTGGGACTATCTGTGTCATGCTTGCTCAGAATGTTCGAGAGCATCACTCGAGCAGAGTCACCGCCAAACTCAATGCATGTGATGCCAAATAAAGGGTACATCTGACAAAGTAAATATGGGGCCTGGTCCAAGTACAGGTATTTATTAAAACTGGGTTTTACCTCCTTTGTTCTCAGAGACATCTCAGTTCATATGAAGATGCGAAATCACGACTGAAAGCGCTGCCAAGTGCGTGCCAACACAAAAGGCACCAATATCAGCTTAATGGTAAAGCCACAGTGGCCAACAAGGAAGGAAAGAATTACATGCATGGACTGACTCTGAAGAGTAACTGTACATTTATGTGTAAGCATGTATGAAGTTCAGTTAGCAAAGTTAGCACCATCACTAATTTGGCCAACGCGTCAAACTACCTCAAAGCAGATGATGGCACTCGCAAGGCCAAAAACTCTGATTCCCTTGTCCACACGTCAACGCTGCTACGAGAGTTGGTGAACTTCTACACCCTGGAAGGAGTTTTCCAAAAAGCTCAGTTTTCAGTCACCAATGCATTGAATCAAAAAAAAAAAAAAACTACCTTTGAAAAACTACCCATGTAGGTGTGAAAAGGATCTAAACTTTGAGGTACACCTTCGACTCCAGGCAGGAGAAGCCCAGCTGTAACCAATCACATTAATAATGGTTCCGCCACATTTCAGTGTGTCGCTGAGCGAAGCGGCAACACCAGGAGCCTCCTAATTAATGCTGCTTATGAGTTACACCTGTGTTCGGAAAACCAAACTGCTGCTTCTGCATGATCTTGTAAGTAAAAAGTAAACCGTGACAAAGTGACTAATTCTATTGCTGCTCAGTTTTTTTCTTATACGAACCAAGATCTATGTTCTAAAGGTGGTAGCTTATCATTTTACACAAGACTGATTTGTTGGCCTCC